TAACCAGCCATAAGCAAATAGGTAATGACCCTGAATATAGGAATTTTAAAGTTCAACTAGCATTATATAAAAAAAACCGTGCATCATTAATTATCCAGAAGACATATCGTTTATGGAAAAAGCAAATATATTCGGCTAAAATAATTCAAAATGCAATAATTGAGTGGCTTTATCGACCGGGTAGTACATTTATGAAACAAGCCGAAGATCGATATCATCAACAGGTAAAGTTATTTTCAAAATCTGTTAAGCATGGTTGAGAATAATAAATGATATACATGCCTAAATCAATTATTCAAACATTAGTTATTTTTTTGATTAAAGATATATAATATATAATTTGAGAATGGCGCAACTATTGCAGAACAATGCTCCAAAGGATCTAAATATTTTTGATTTACCAGAATTACTAGAACAGATTTTATATTTTTTAGAAAACGATCGGTCCCTCTATCCTGCTTTGTTTGTTAATCGGTTTTGGTATCACTGCAGTGCTCCTATTCTATGGCGAGATATTGATTTTTTCATAAATTGTCAAGGAAACACATATAATAACTATTCATCTGGAGATCTTTATTGGCGATTATTGAAGTTTAAAAGAGTTATGTGTGGAAAGATAAAGCCACTCTATTGTTCAAAGATGGTATATCTTAGTTTGGAAGGTTTAAAAATCTCAGATGCTTTGATCAGTGCAATTCTGCGTTCATGCCCAGATATACGCTTTCTTATTCTTAATCGAAGTTATGGTTTTACTAATATACCAATTATAGAAATTGCAAAATTTTGTCCGAAATTAATACACTTAAGTCTTAATTCATGTAAATGTCTCACTAATCGATGTATCACTGAAATTACTCGCTCGTGCCAGAAACTTAGACATCTAGAGCTTGGTGATTGCTCGATTGGTAATAACGCTGTTGAGGAAATAGCCCGTAACTGTACTAATTTGAAATATCTTAGTTTGAAGGGGTGTAGAAGGATTGGCGAAGAAGTGATGAAAAAACTTAATTCAAAAATTAAAATCAAACATCCTGATTATTCCGATGATGAATTCTCGGATTCTGATCTACCTCCACTTATTCCAGATTGTTCTGATCTACCTCCACTTATTCCAGATTGTTCTGATCTACCTCCACTTATTCCAGATCCATTAAGGTATCTCGAAGCAATATTTTTAGCGGTGGACCTAATAGAATGGTTTTCCACAATACATTAATTGTAACAGATCTTATTTTTGCAATTAGAGTATCATCAGAATTGAGTGATTCAGAACGAATTAATTTATTTCACTATGTCGTTATAATGGGCAGAGCCCAGACTCAAAGAGTCATGGAGCGATGTCATGTGCAAATCCGCATATATAGCGGGATCTCTTTATTTAAAAAAATTAATGTCGGAACATAAAAAGAATAAGAAATTTTATATTATCCCCTTGGGATATTTCCATCACCAGCACCGCTTTGAAATCCTTCCCCTCCAGCTTTTTTAAATACTAATTCAAATTTTACCCCTCCTCTTGTATGTTGTTCAGGAATTTCCGGGTTTTCCAAAACATTTTTTAGCGGGATTCTTTCCTG